GGGAAGAGCCCCCCCGACAGTCTGACTCCGGAAGAGCATCAGGTGCTAAGGCTGCATCCACAGAAAGGATCTGAGACGTGGCAACTGCAGGCACTGCAACGCTGCACTCCCCACAGCAGCCACCACGGTACAAGGGTCAAGACAGACAGCCCTAAACACACTCTTCAGGTGAGTGTGTTTTTCTGTCTGCTCTTCACCTCTCCGGCAATAACATCTATGGAGCTTGGGCTTTTTTTTTGGCTTTCTTTGTTTTTCCTTCTTTACTGTCTTTGGCAGTGTTGACATTCTTAAGACTAATCTTACAGAAAGTTTGGCCCTCTTTTGTAATAGAGCTTTATTTTAGCTATAATAAGAACAGGAATATTTTTTAATACCGTGGTTAAACAACAGCCAATTCATATGTACTGATCCGATCGGTGTTTTGGTTTTGCTTTTTAATTCTCCCTAGCCTATGGCATGGAGGTTTTTTAGATAGAGCAACTGTGGGGTACAATCCAGTATTTCACGTGCTTTAGAGCTTCAGGAAACATCACTGTGAGCACCATAATACCTTAGTCCCACTTGACATACAGCTTCAAAACAGACCACGTTACTTCAAAGATGACGGCACTACAACATAAGCAGATTTTGTTCCCTTTTCCAGGGAGAACAGTCTCGGTAGCCAGGTCTGGTCTGGTCACTGGGAGTTCATGGCAGTTTTGCACTGTGTTACAAAGAAGCGTTTGTCACCCTTTACTCTTGATACAACCACTTCCCCATGCAAGTGAATTTCAAATAACCTAAATTTATGTCACAAAGTTTGCAAAACAGCTCAATTCACAGACTGTCGTATGTCCAAGAATAACCTAAAAATAATGATTTACATGGTCCTCTTTCTGCTTGCTTCCCATTGCTTGAAAAATCATGCTTTATATCATTTACTAGAACTACGTGTACCTTTTAAAAATAGAAACAGCTTTTGCCAGCCTGGAAAACATTTTTCTGTAAAATAAAATAATAAAATGGAAAGCACTGATCTAGGAAAAAACCCCTCCAGCTTTTAAACTGGCTGTAACAGAAAAAGAAAAAAACAGATACTAAAACCCCAAACTTTTACAAGGCATTCACACTTTGGATAAAACGTCAGGAAAACTGTGGCTTTAAGATGACTATGATTAATCCATGCCTTTCTTGAGATCTCCAACGCTAGTTACGAGTGCAGGAGGTCAAGCTGCAAGTCGTGGAGAGGCAGGGTGCAGCGTGGGGATGCGAGCTGGATAAATCGGTGAAGAACATGGCCCTTCAGCTCTGGGCCTAAGGCTTATTCACTAATTCAGTGCGCTCGCTGCTCAGGCTTTAGGGTCTCTGCAGCTCCTACGGGCACCACCACACACAGTTCTACCAAGGGGCAAGCGATGAGGCTACAGAAGCTGAAGGCAGGCGTACTGTCCCAGGGTGTTACTGTAGGGTGAATTTTTAGAGTAATGCAGCCATAGTTCCCATGAAAGAAACAGACCAAAAACATGGTTACACCTTTGAAGGTTCATTCCACTCATCAGCATCAGTAGTTTTTGCACATCTGTCTGGGTTACAGTAAAAAACAAACCAAAACCAAACCCAAAACCCCAGCACCCCAACACAAAAAAAATCCCAAACCAAACCCCAAACTAAAAAACTGAACAGCTTTGGTCTGAACACATGGACCAGATGCAATTAAACCACCTCACTGCAGGACTGCAGAGAACAACCTTCACGCATTTACGGAAGCCAGAGCATCTGTTCGTTATAATGCACTGTTTATCAACACTGTAATGTTTCTCACTGGTTCACTCAGGAATGGAAGTTGAACAGTATCATCATCCATATGGTTCCCTGAATACTGCGTGGCTTTATAAAATGCTTCTCATCACTTGCATTATTTTGTGGTTTGCAGATTTAGTCAGGTAAAGAATCAAAGTAAAGCTTAGGACAGCAGTTTTCTTTGCTACATGTAGACCCTGGCTTCACTTCAGCAAAACACAGACAAATTTACCAAGCATAGAGAGTTCTTCTCTTTTCACCTACAAGCAGGCCACTGATTTTTTATGAGGTACATAAAACTAATCCACACTTGGTTAAGCATCTCTGGGGCCTCTGTGGCAGTGCCCGTACAGTTGCGGGGCAGCCACGTTCTTTTCATCGTCTTTTCTAACACCGATTTCTGATCACATTCAACACGTACAAAGACAGAAGGTACTCAACATACAGCTGATAACAAATGACACTTGATTAATAGATTCTACTGTAATCCAATCAGTTTCTTAGCAATACAGATTAAAAGGCAAATTTTTTCAGCCTCTCCTTGCAAACACATTCATTTAGTGGCATTATGCTCAGATCGCAGCTGATTTTCCTTTATTTGCACTAGTACCAAATACAAACCGCTTAACAGACAGGACACTCGCTGTGAGGACAGTCCTTGCCAGCCAGGGCTCAGGACACATCACTTTCAATGTAAGGGATGTCGCTGTATTTGCTTTCAGTCACTGCCCACTGTTTCAGAGCCTGATCAAGAATCTCGCGGGAGAGACGGTGTGCGTAGTCCAGCACTATAGCGCTTGATGGACTTTTCTCATCCGCCTTCACTGCTATCAGTGATGACTTCTCCCCATTGCCTTCCCTGATCCTTTCATCCTGGATAGCGTTTGAACCTGGAAAGGCATCCTTGGATTTGATGCATCCCATGGTACATTTGAAAACGCAGCTGCAAAATTCAGTTCAACAGCATGTTTTGATAACCTGGAAGTGGTTTCCTTGTTTGATGCACGGTATTGCTGCTCCTTGCCAGTGGTTCCAGTTATTCTCAAAGAACACAATGTCTCCTTTTGTGCTTCTTTACTTCTGAAGAAATCTGTCAAAACAGTGTTTCACACAAATGCAATAAATAGTTTGTCATTCTCAGTGAGCTCCAGGGAGAGCTAAATTCCCTACCGACACTTGTAGAAGCAACTTTAATAAATCTCTTCATGGTGTGCGTGAAGTGTTTTTATCAGTAACATCCATCTACTACAAGTAGGCAAAGCCCGACCTGAATTCAAGCTGCCTTTGAATGCAATTCCCAGTACATGATGTAAGCCATCTAGGAATGTAAAGGCCCTAAGAAAAAATAATTTTAAAAATAATAATCTGTTTCTTCCAAACTGACAATGCAGTGCCCTTCTCCTGAGTCTGCAAACAAACGCTGTTTAACTCCAGTGACTCCTGCTGCTGCTGCTACAGAAAATAAAAACAGAAACCCAAAACACACCACGGAAGCACCCCACAACCACAACTAAACAAGAGCCGTGTGCCATGGCTGTTGCACACCCTTTGGGCAGGAGTGACTTGAGCATGCAGTCACGAGAAGGTGTTCCTGACAAGCAAGAGCTGCTTTTCATTGTTTCCCTTGAGAGGTCAGGGAAAGCAGCAGCGGACTGCTGTGCTCAAAGCCGTTCTCACAGAGCTAGAGCACCATTCTTGCTGAAGCAGGACAACTCCACATCTAGAGAGCAGAGAAGAAAATGCCTGACAGGGTCCTATTGTCAAACTCCTCAAGAATCAGAATTGGTCAGCCCCAAATTCTGGTATATGTTTTTTTGTTTGTTTCTTAAGCCTACAAAGCTGGTTCTCAGGCTACTTTCTTTATACAGGCAAAGCAGAATCTCATGATATGCCTGACTTTGCTTGGCATGAACTTACCCACTTACCAGAGTTAATAGAGTGCCAGCCAAAATAAAAACTGTGCTGCACAGAAACCAACTGTTCCCTACAGCTTCACCCGATGACGCTGTACTAAAGGTCAGCCAAAGTTAAAGATTTTTTGTAAACAGCCTCTGAAAACATAATCATGGCAAAGATGTTAAGCCTTATTTACTTGTTTTATCTACTGAGGGAACTAGAGGCTCCAATCCAGTAAACTGACCACAGGCAAATATTTGCAGAGGAAATCAATCCAATTCGCAGGCAAATGATGCTTCACAGGTAGGGTGGGACTTGCCCAGTCTAGCAGCTGACTCATGAGAACCAGGTTCACAGTGACAAGCTTCTCTCCTCTTTCTGCAAGTTCATAAAAACATCACTACCTCTTCAGAAAACAGTCTGTAGGACTGAAGTGCCAGCACTCAGAAGTGGTGGTTGCTGCTCCTGGCAGAAAGTCAGACCTAAAGGGCTTCTGAAACCACAAAGCACAGACAAATGTTTTCACACCTTTAGCTTTGTATCAGAACACTTCCATGTTTTAGAGAAATGTTTGTAAATCATTGAATAAAATCCAGTAAGTTTCTTTTGTGCATCATGACACGCTGCAGCGTGTGTCAGTGTATTTTAGAGCAGGCAGCACAGTTAACAAGCCTGTAACAAAACCCCTGCTGGCAGCATTTGTAGTTTTACCCAACACAGAGGAGAACTAAGCTATCAGTGTGGTTTTTTTATTGTAAAAACTTGTTATTACACAAGTAAAAAGAAGGATTTTCTTCACTGCACAAGAAACCATATTTATGCCTATGGAGGTTTATAAAAAACCCATGAGTTTTATACCTCTGTCTATCAACTGCATACGCTGATGAAACCTAAAACGCTCACAGAACATGCTTACAGGGCAGAGGCCAAGGAGATGCCTGAAAGCAATTCAGACATCTGAATAATTCAAAACTTTCTAATAGTAATATCTTGTGCTTCTCTAATTTCAATAGTTATCATTAATAAAACAACAAAAATAATTTCCACTTGCTCTTCTGGACAAATATGTAGCTCAAAGTATCTAATATGGCAAAGAATCACTAATAGCATCTATAGCCCAGCTGCAGCCTTCATCCAGCCATGGTAATACACAAACTTCACCGGGAGGTACACAGGTGTGCTGTCTAATCCTTTCTCACCACACTACTGGTAACAATTACAAGTCTTAGATTAGATACTGTGTCCTCCTCAGACTGAGCCAGAGCTGTAAATATTGTAGATTTAAACCTCAGATTCCCAAGCCACACTAATGCTCTATGCCACAGTTGATACAATGCATTTTATCAGTTTCATCCTCGACGCTTTAATGACTAATCAGATTTGGATTGTTTAATCCAAGTTTGGAGCCATATTCTTTTATAAAGTGTCCTCTACTGCACTTTTGAAAGGAGGTCTGTTAAATGGTAGCCAGCTTAATTAGTATTTTATGATTGTTTTGAGATGTTTCCATCCTACAACTGAAGATCTCCTTTCCTCTTCTGCTAGGGGACGCCAGCAGATGGGTTAGTGTCTAGCAGAAAGACGGAGGGAATGTGAGTAGAGGGAAGACAAACATCTCCTAAAGCAGGTAGGGAGAAATTCCTTAGGCCAGTACCTTCCTCTGCAGGATTTACCTCTGTTCCCACCTTCTTACCTCTGCCTTTTCATTTGGGCTAAATCAAATGTTTGTGGGACTGTCCTTAACAGAGGCAGGGGTGAGCTATAAAACTTCTAAGCAGCAAGGCATGCAAGACAACTAAATCATTCCAAACTGATTAATAGTCGAGCTTAAAAGCAAAGTTATTGGCCCTAGTTTAAAATCTTGACTGTTGCTCATTTCATTATTTATAGAGCGTAGTACTTTCCAAGTCACCGCAGTAAGTTTTACAGTTTGCCTGCTCTACTTGAGTTAATAATTGTTGGCACATAAATGATCGCAAATGAAGCTGCCCTCAATCTTCTGCCTGCTTGCTTGTCTTTCTGACAACCATTGCTTGCACATACATAGTGAAGCGCTGTTTAAATCTTCTCCACCTAACTCATCTCCAGAGTGTTAAGTTCAGACAGGGACTGTAACAGCTCCAGCTTTCCTCACAATGGTCATGCACTCAGAGGAGAAAAAAAAAAAAAAAGAGCTCATTTTACTCCCCGCGCGATGTTTCATTCAGTAACTGCACAAGGCAAAATTGTCTGATAGGAGTTTCTTTCTTTCAGCGTCCAAGCTCTAATATGTTGCCAGCTCTGCTTCAGAAACCACTGCATAGATGGGTCAAGGCTCAGGCCAGAACCTCTGCAGACGCAGTTCCCCACGTGACAAGCTGCTGTGCTGAGCTGAAGGCAGAGGTTAGGAAGCTGCAAACTGCTCTGTCACACTGTCAACCAGGAGTTAAAGCAGCACCATCACAAACCCTAATGTATCTTCTCCTTTTAAAGACCAATTTTACAGTAAGTGAAATGTTGATTTAATTCATCTGAAAAATACACATTCCTAGTTGTGCTCAATTTTAGTGGACATATAGTCAATATGCTTTTAAATACCCCATTTAACTTCAATACTATAAACACTGAGTATTATTTTAGGAAGAGACCTGAAAACCATTTATACCCTTCCATATCCCTAGAATTGGAAGTTCCCGAGGATAAGTTCGTGTGTTGTTTCATCTATTATGGTATTTACTACATGTGTGCCCTGTGGTAATACAAAGGGAGAGAAAAGATAGCTGAACTCACCTTGCATAAGAGGGCTATGCAGTCTCTTTGCCAGCCTGGCTAAGTGTTTCCTGCCAAGGTAAGTTCATTTCTAACCACTGAAGGAAACAAAACAATGGTAAAAGAATGCCTGCAATTCACTATTATACAATATAAAATACAGGGGGAAAAGCATTAATAGCATTACTGCAGTTTTGTTTAGATAAATAAGACTTTTTAAGGTATTAAAATAATGAATAAGAAATAATTACAAAAGGATAAATGTGAGCTATCCAAGAATAAGAGTTTTGCCTGCTTCTCTGGAATACGTCTTCAAATGATGAAGAAAGGCAAGGAGCAAGAGTTTTGCTGTTATGCAACATCTCCAGCGATCACAGACAAGTAAGTTCCTGCTACCATTTAAATGGTTTCCATCCATAAGACCTTTGAAAAGAATCTCCTTGAAGTTCAATGCTATACTGCAAGGAATTGCTTTCTGTAACATCTTCTGTTACAGCAGTCACCGGATTAAAAATAAGTCATACGTTTCAAGACAGCTTAGTGCAGCTTTGCCGAGTTGAACACAGCAAGTAATTTCTGCTGTGACAGACCCAAGCTCCTCAGTTTCCAAACTTTCAGGTTCAAATATGACTCCCTGTAACTCTTCTCCAGCCAGCGAGGCTTTTAGTTTTTTCCTTGCTATCCACAAGAGCAGTTCGGTATGCTACTTACCAAAAACACGTCTGCTTTTAACAAGCTGGCCCACTTGTCCCCAGTACAGCACAGACAGCTTCACGACTGGGACTCTGCAAAGGGAATCAAGATATAAAACTTAGCACTCTTGAAGATGTCAACACTACATTATCACAAAATTAGATGCATCTCTAGTGCTGGTTTTGTAGAAGTCTATTTGCCTGCTTACCTGCAGTATTTGACTTTGACAAAAGGTAAAAGCATGATACAGCACTTAATAAATCAGATTGAATGGCAGGCCGCAGCCATTTGTATACAGCACCTAATCCGGGGTGTACAAAGGGGCCACTGCTTGGGCAAGCAGCTCCTGTTCTACGTGCAGGATGCCAACCTCCTTCCACAGCCAGTCCAGTTAAGGACGATTTCAGCAAGGATACAGGAAGGGTAACACGCCAGCATCTGCAGTGCCCCATCTTTTGCCTAAGCTTAAAAGTTCTCTCCTATTTTGCCTTCTGCCTTCTCAGAGCTTCTGCTGTGACTTGGACCTTTATCATCCATGTGATAAAAATCACAGTGCTGTCATTATCATGGAAACAATAAACGTCACT